GGGGAGGCCTGGTGTGGCGGTGAAGCAGCTGCGAAGCAGCTGGACGATGGCGTCGTTGTTGTGATGAAAGACGGTTCGAGAGGCGGAGAAGATGAGGAAGTCGCTCCAGCGCTTGACTTTTTGAGTCCACAAGGCTGCCACGATGGGCATGCTTGGCCATGGGCAGCTTGCGGCGAGGTTCTCTAGAGCTGGTCCGGCGAGGTTAAGGAACCGTTCGGATGCTTTATCAAGCTTGTATGTTATGGTGAGGCTCACAAAAGCTGCCAGAGGTAACGGAAGTGTTGCTTGGGAGATTCCCCCTGCCATATAAAAGCATTATACTTATAAAAACCAAATAGTAGAATTGATTTACTTCGTCTTCCAGATTTTTGTTTGAATGGAAGTCGCCAAAAATGAATATTTCTCACTTCATTGTAACAGAACTACAAAATCTGGCCTTCAAGTTTTAATTTTTATCCAGAATGCACATCACTCTCTAGTTCTGAATGAAACAGTTTGGTTGGAAGCACACCGAGAGAGAGAGAGAGAGAGAGAGAGAGAGAGAGAGAGAGAGAGAGAGAGAGAGAGAGAGAGAGAGAGAGAGAGAGAGAGAGAGAGAGAGAGAGAGAGAGAGAGAGAGAGAGAGAGAGAGAGAGAGAGAGAGAGAGAGAGAGAGAGAGAGAGAGAGAGAGAGAGAGAGAGAGAGAGAGAGAGAGAGAGAGAGAGAGAGATGGGGCGCAAGGAAACTTAAGCTGGCAACATATTTGATGTTGGGGCATTTACATATATACCATCCAATTGTCATGTTTCAATTTGAAATTAAGGCTTTATTTGGGTTTTAGGCAAACTGAAGGAAAAGAAACAAAATCGAAAAGAATTAACGTCAGCAATTGCTCTCAGATTTTAAACCTTGATTTTTCATTTCCTTTTACACAAATTCCCAGCATCCAAACGCAACCTATGCTCTGAAAGAAAGATCATTGGAAATGTGACTCGGATATAAGGAATCCAAGAACTCATGGAATTTTCATGAATTTACCTTGTGTTTTTCTAATTTACACTCATTTAAGTTTGTATTAGTATGTCTCATGGGATTATATGAGATTCAAATACCATAAACTCAATAAATTTGTTGAAAAATGCAACAAATAGTGAATAGCATCATGAACATACCAGCAACAAGGCTAGGAACATCAACACCAGTAGTAGCAACAATTTTCCTTATAAGTTCTTCCACTGTCGAGAGGTTCGCAGCAGGACTGGGCCAATCAGTACCATTCATGAAAGCAGGTTTCCAGACTCCACGAGTTACTTCAGCAGAAAAATAGCTTACTATTGCCGCTAGTGATGCAGGCAGGAAATCAGCCAAGTCCTTAAGGCCTAAATTTGAGTAATAGTTTGATAAGCAATCATCAGATTTGTATATATTGAACATTATTCTAGTAATAATATTGAACCTAAAAGAAAGACCAGACTTTTAACATTGAGTTAGAACTGTATTAATTATGAAGAATAATTTTAGGATCAGAAATTTTAACTTAAAAAAATCAGAGGCTACTGAATTTTTAACCAAGTAAGAGTTCTTAAAAAACAAAGTCCAGCAGCACTGATGAATCTGAAAGCAATGCATATTAAAGGAAAGTAGATTAGAAATTTAATGTATTTAAAAATTTATTATGAATATAGTTAACAAAACATCAAATCCATAGAGAAAACTATTTACGGAGAAGAAAAAAATCATATTTATCATAAATCTGAAGATGTTTGCATTAAAAAGAAAAAAAGAAAAAAAAATCTGATTTACCGGTCGCCAGTTCACGTGGGGAAAGTCTACCATGTGAACAAGCACTCAAAGCAGCATCAACAACAAAAGGAACAGCTTCCATGATGTCCCATGCAGGTAACATTGGTTTAACATAGTAATCCTCACTCCCAGGACCAGAAGAATTGCTTAAGCTGCTTCCAGATGTCCCAGGGCCAACCGACTGGTTATTTCCTTTATTCCTAAACATCATGTTTAAAAGACTGTCCACATTTTGATGAACTGGAGTTCCATGAACCAGACCAGAAAGAGTTGATGCTAAACATGCCTGATGTTGTCTGTACCAAACTTTCAACTTCGGGAAAGAATCAACATAAATAGGTTGCAACAATGGTGAACACGTTGTTGACAATCGATTGTTGCTATCACGTTTTTTGGTCGGATTGCATGAAGAAAGTAGATTGTTGCGCAACAATAAAAGGTATTCTGGAGTCAGCTGTGATCCAACAGGAGCTCCATCACCCATAATGCAATATTCTAGAGGAGGATGGTTGAACTTCCATAATCTCAATAGAAGAATAAATGCATTTGAGAAGACTGAATGAGCAGTAATTTCTTCACTGGATGTCGTCCACGTAATGTTTGGAACACATGCACCAAAAACCTCACATATAGCCATTAATGCCCCTGCAAGCTCTGGAACCTGGAAATGCAACAAACGAGAGGAGGGAAATCTCATATCCAACTAATCACTTTTAGCATGACATAGAATGCTTTGCCAAAGTGGAAAGAGATGTTGCCTACCAAACCATGAAAGGAGAAAATTTGAACACAGTCCACAGATGATATTCCTGTAAGAACAACATTCATCATAGGACCATGACTAATTAAATGACTCTCAGTTCCAGAATAATCAGCAGGGACAGGAGGAGAGAGCAGCTTTACAACAAAGCGGACAGTGTGTTCCTAAGACATTTAAAATAAAGAAAGAGGTAATTATACCAGTGAAACACTACAGAAAAAACTAGCCGCTAACAACATAAATTTTAATAAAAGAAAAAGGACTTAGTAAACCCAGAATTATGTATACACGAAGGAAGGTTTCATCAACTACCTGGATACCCCATCCACGAATAAGAGATGCCGAACAAATAATGAAGGCTGCGGATACCTTGTCATCGTTTGATCCGTTAATTGCAACGTCAAAGATCTTCTCAAGCTCTGCTAAACTTCCAAAAATTATAAAAGCTGATTCAGTGGTTTCAATCAGGAAATTTTCCATGAACATTAAAAATTTCATAGGAAAGAAGTTTGCTTGATGAAACAAATTCAAATTATAGTTCAAAGATGATAGAATATTACAGGATGAAAATTATAACCTTCACAATATAATTTTATTGAACTTAATCTACAAGTATCAAAAGAAGAACTTGATTTTAGAATACCAAGTTGTAAAATGAAATGCTGTAAGGGTTCACTCAAAGTTGATATTAGCCAAAAAATAAATAACTAAATAAAAGTACATGATGCATGAAATAATGACGATATACAGCTTACATTCCTACGAACTTTAATATTTAATAAGATATATTAAAGATCTATGGAAAAGGAAACGGGTAGCATACTAAGTTCTAACTACTTATGAACATACACACCTTGAAACAGGACTTCTGGCCAAAGAATTTACAAGTGAAGGTGTTAAGGGAGCTCCTTTCATTAATGTGGACCACCCAGGAACCTGGCCAGGTAACGAATGAGAAATTGGTTTCATTTTTCCACTCACATAACCAGGCCAAAAGTAAGCTGATGTGTCCACTAACTTTCGCAAGATACAGGACTCAATAATCAAGTGCCACAGATTTCCAGCTGCAATTTGGTTCAAGATAAGAATGAAGCATAACCAAATAATTCAATTATTACACTTAAATCTTTCAAAGTTGCTCTAAAATAACTTACAGAAATTAATCGCATTGTCATTTATGTTGGCGCACTCTAAATATCCACTTCCAATCGGCAGGCCTGACAAAAACATCATTGCTTTTGCAGCAGCCTGATTGGCAGCAGAGACAACTAATGGCGGAGGAACCAACAGGCTTTCATAATCACCGAGAATCTGCAAACAGGAGACTAAATCTTGACGACATTTTCCACTTGCTGCTTTGGCTTTCCATTGGTTAGTTTGTTCCACTTCATCAACTAATTCAGCTTCTTCTTCCTTGATAATATCAGCAATTGCTAGAGTTGTGATCGAAATCAAAATGCACAAACGGGCCTCAAGCCGAGGTACCGGGCCCTCATGAGGATCTCTTTCCTATTAAAACACAAAGAAGTATCATTTTCCTCAGTCTCTCAGCTCATAATTATCAGACTCAGAAGAATTTTGAAGCAAGAACAACTTACTCTTTGTACAAGTCGAAGAGAGGCAATCCATAGACCTAAGAAGGCATCATGCCAGGTTGTTCCATTAACAGCTTTAAGGGTCTTCACCAAGCCTGTATTAAGCTATTTAGTAAGCCAACAGATTAGAAAGCGTATCCCTAGGTTGAAAACAATCCAATTCAAGCTAATCCAAGCCGAGAGCTCAAAATCATAAATCATATAATCATGACAAACGGTTCTAGTAATGTTTCAGTAACGTACTTCTTTCTGAAAGCTCTTTTACACCTTTCAATAGAAATGTATCTTATAAATATATATTTACTTTCTGTAGAAATGCATCCATATATCAGTGTTACACTTGGCATGGATGGAGAAGAAAGTATGATCTATCTTAATCTATTAGTGAAATAATCAAAAAGGAAAATAAAATAAATTAAGATGAGAAAATAGTGTAGATAGATAAGAAATAGGGTTCATGGGGAAAAAAAAAACATTTTTTTTAATTTAAATGAAAATAGACGCAATAGAGAGAAAAGGATTCATGTAGCCAACCCAACTTAGTGGGATAAAGGCTTGTTGTTATAGTTTTTGTATTATTATCTTGAAGCTGCAGGAGGGGAGCCTTGGGATAAATGACCAACCTAGTGTAAGATAAAAAAAAAAAAAGTGATGGCAGTGAGTACCAACAGCCTATGCGGTGCTAAAACGGTTGTAAGTTTAGGATTTGGGTTATGGAAACCATGCATGCAGAGGGGTTAGAGTAGAGGGCACAGATTATCAGAGCTTTTGATGAGTGAGCTAGAAGTTATGAAGCGACTTTCAGCTATGCATAATAAGAGAGCAGAGAAGAGGGGGGTTGAAAACTTCTTAATGTTTTGCTTAGGGTTTGTGGAGAGGAGGCCAATGACAGGGAGGGTTAATGGTAGGCGTGTGGGAACGTGGCTGACAGTTTAGATAGGCTCTAAGTCAATCCTTAGTAACTATCTCATATGTTTGCAAGCATGTATGTATGCATAGATATGATTGTTTGATACGATTACTCGTACACCACAAAGATAAGAAATCATTTATCTCACTATCAAGATCTTTGATTAGGATATAAATTTGTAAGCTTGATGAATGATTAAATCATTATGAAACTAAGTTAATTTTACAATCATGCTACTTTTTATAGTGAAGTTTAAGATGAACAGTCTTGATTTGCTAGTTCAATGTTGTATGATTGAAAAATAAGTCAAAAGAAAATCGTATCGGAAGGCGTCTTCCTTCATATAAAAACTAATCTATGCATACAAGCATGTGCGCATGCATTTATATGAACACATGACTACTATACTTCTATATGGAAGGGTAACTGGATTATATGTTACATTTGCTAATTTCTAACAATTCAAATACAGCTCAAATTCCTATTGTGCTTCTTTATTTGCAACACAAAATGAAGTTGAGCATAAATTTTCCTAAACTACCACAAAATTTTGGTAGAAAATCATAGGTAGCATTCAAAGGAAATGAAGAAAAGAATGATCAGACGTAAATCAGCGCAAAAAGTTGAGATAAGGCTAATTACGGGGATGAATGTGTTAGAGGCAGTGCTCACACATGAAGCATGTAATATCATCACCCTTTTATGTGGTCTAAATATTGACATAAACGATGTCGATTCATTATGTATGCTTAAATCACATAAAACTTTATAAGCATGTATCATAAAATGTTTTGAATAATATTCATGCATTCTTATTCCAAATTAAACTTGACAGCAGCGGCAGTTTTGGTTGAGGGCACAATAATGCCCATTTCTTCAATTTCAATCTATCAATCTTAAGTTCATAAAAAAAAAAAGGATTTTCAATCTATCAATCTTAAGTTCATAAAAAAAAAAGGATTTAAGCTTGGTACCAAAAGTTTTTTGTTGTTATACACACAAATCAATTATCTTGAAATAAAAGTTCCTTCATCAGAAACCAATTACGTAACCATTGTATGGGTGATGTTTTTATTACATATAGAATATAAAAAACTGTTCCCACAGCACCCACACCCCATAAGTATCACTGTAAATGAAAAATAATGAATGATAGTTCATAAAGCTTAAACAAAATCGATGCTCATGATGATTATATAAAAGCAGCAATGCCCAATCAGGCTTATGATGTTTAAATTGTGACTTGTTAGTTTTGAACTGTGCTAAGCAAAAAATTAGTATTTCTGCTCAACTATTAACCTTTGAGCTCAATTCTCAGCATAAATAACCCGGTTTTTGCCATCAGCGCTAAAGATGTTAGGAAGTGGAATAAGAAATCATTCATGATGGTTGAACATAAAGAATGAGAAAAGTCAAAATAGTCCCTGATTTTTTGCATGGCGCCATTTCAGTCCAAGAGTTTATAAAAGCTACGATTTAGTCCCAAAATTTTTTAATATGGGTTGAAATAGTCACGAGCCTATTTTGACACTTTAATCAAGAAAAAAGTGACTTTTCATACTGTGGATTGTTGCGTGTGGGAAGAAAGAGAGAGGGAGAGAACAGAGGTTCACATTCCAAAATGTTCATACCACTAATAATTTCGATGGCATTGGTCGCTGCAACTGAACCATCTATGCAATCCTCAAGATAAAGATCTATGGGAATCCAAAAGGAAGAATGAGTTGCGCCATGACAGTGACCACCTGAAGACACCATACACACAGGAACAGTAACTGCACAAAACCCAGCATGTTTTCCCGATATGCAAGATCTACCAAATCCGTCAAATAGCAACTGCAGCAGCTTCTCTCGTAGTGCTGATGAATTTTGCAATGTTGATGAATTTGTGCAAAGCAAGTGTAATCGCTGACTAAAAGATCCCCAGTGGGTGGGCCTAAGAGTTGGCACAGGAAATAGTAGAGAATTATACTTCATGTTCACGTACTAGAAGTTACAGGCATAGGTTAAGTATAATAGATGACAAAATAAAAGAATAAACAGCAGTACTGCAAGATACTAATAACAGTTTAAAATCATTAACTAGCAATTCATTTAAAAACAAATACTTGGTGAAACATTTACCGGTATATATGTGATTGAAACTGCAGTAGAGTACAAATTTAGCTTGAAATTAATTTCAGGGTAGTAGAAAGCACTTAGACACTCGTAGTCTAGGAATAAGAAAGGGAGCATCCGTAGTGTTGGAAAGTGCCAATCAGTATACTAGATTTGGAAGGAATTTATTTCCATCCCTCATAATAGATTTCACAAACTGTGCTTCCTTTTATTAGATATTTCCCTTTTTTCTTCCTCTTTGGTGGGACTCTATTTTAATCTCTTTCATTATATATATATATATATATATATTGTAAGGTATAATGCATTTAGATGCGCAAAAAATAAAAATATTTTCCCAGATTTCTGCATGGTATCAAAGCCGCCAACCTAATTAGTTCGAACGACTGCTTCATCTCCCTCACAATCTTCTTTCTTAGAAGTTACCTCAAGATCTGAGCCTATATCTTCAATCCCTAGCTCTCATCACAAGCCATAAACTGCAATGCCATAATTTTATTCAATGTTCACAATCCATTTTTATGTACATCTCTGATAGAGGGAAGGATGAACATCTCACAAGTAAAATCTCTGCTTCAAAAGTGACAGATTCCAAATATCGGGCATAGAAAACTGACGACAATATGATCATGTCATGGTTAAAAAATTCCATGATCATGATGGTTGGGGAAAACTTCCTGCTCTATAAGATATCCCATGAGATATTGAAAATTGTATGTGAAACATACTCGGACAGTAAAAATTACTCATTAATTATTTAAGATTGACCAAACTACATGATATATGACAAGGATAATTGAGTGTTACTTACTGTTTCAGCACCCTCATACACAGTTGGCTGTAATTGGACATGTATGAGGTTTACCATTGAAAATGTCCTGATTATTTTGTCTTGTATAGAAAGATTACTAAACAAAAAGAGACCATCATATTCCTCATTGGCCTCATAAAGACCATGATGAAGTCAAGGGGAGAATTAAATTCATCGCTACCATTCTGGAGGCCTTTACAAAAAAGGGAGAAGAGCATAAAGAAGTTGATCACAACAGTCAATCACACCACATCATAAGTTGAATGATCAGTCTTGCATATTGAAAATTTATCTCATAATAACAAGCCCAGGAAAGGATGGTCATGATGCAACCGTTGTAAGAAACTTGGTCGCGTGAAAAAAAGTATTGGAAACCACACGACAAACTTGTAGATTAGAAGCCAAATGAAAGATTTGATAGGGATAAACGTGCAAATGATGTCATTACCAACAACAATTCAAAATTCAACCATTTCACTAGATAGCAAATTGAGGTATTGTAGAGAATGTTTAGTTCTAGTTTTAGACAAGCATCACAATCCTCTGTCGAACAACCTATTAATTTGTTAGCACACCGAGATACCATACCCTATGCTTTTAGAATCCAAAGCAATAAATTAAAAGCTTAAATAGTTTACTCCGGAGCCTCATATCATATGTTGAGAAATATCAACGTCTTCAAAAATTACAACCAATGAACAAGTCACTTTACAGTTCAAATAACTGATGGTTCATTCTCACCAATAGCAGGAACTGAATCAGTCAAATTGATAAAAGATCTTCATCTCTACTTTGCTTATAATATTTCAAAACTAAACTGCCACATACTCTCAATCAACAAACTTGCGATCTAAAATGTGCGACTAAATTTTATTACAATTGTTGTGATTTTCAAGTTTTAGACTTGGGAAAGAAGATTGACAAGAATGAGATGTGTGGTGATCAATATTTGCCCAACAAAAATACTTTCATCGGTAGGCAAGGTCATCCGTCAAGTGTATCTCTGAGTCTAGTTTAAATTTTGTCAATGTAGTTTTAGTTGAAAGTCAAGCCAAGTTGAGTCATTGTTAATTTTATACACATGACATTTATCACTAAAAAACTCAATCTTTATCAATATAAAATTTAACAACTTGCAAAGCATACTAGATATGTATACTCTCAACAACAATATAATCTTTCACATCCATGTTTTGTAATTCACAATAATACCTAAGAACCCTCACAAGAAAATAATATAAATGAGACATGATGGTTTGTATCATTCATTGATGATCACATATTAATAACATGGACATTTCATATGAAAGAAAAAAAATAAAACAAACATCATAGTTCAATCATTTCATTTCATGATCCTCACTCAATTACAAAACAGAACTAATTCTTAAAATGGATAATGCTACAGAATATTTTAATTCCATCCATAGAACTTATCTTTTCAAGCATAATATTATTCATATAAATTCTTGTGTGGATACTCTTCAACAAAATGAGGTTGTTGAAAAGAAAACAAACATCACATTTCAATCATTTCATTTCATGATCCTCACTCAATTATAAAACAAAACTAATTCTTAAAACGGATAATGCTACAAAATATTTTAATTCCACCCATAGAACTTATCTTTTCAAGCATAATATTATTCATATAAATTCTTGTGTGGATACTCTTCAACAATATGAGGTTGTTGAAAAGAAAAATAGATAATTATTTGAGATGACCAATGTCATTATGTTCTTTAATCATGTGCCTAAATATTTTTTAGGGGAAGTCTTTTTCACAACCACGTATCATATCAATAGGAGGCCAAATCGAATCCTAAGATTTCAAATTTCCCGTAATTTCTCATGAAATTCTACCCACATCAATTCTCTTTCTCTTGACTTATAATTGGAGATTTTTTTTTATTTACCTTTGTTCACATTTGTCAACAACAACGCACCAAACTTGATCCCAAGTCTCTCACAGGTGCATCTTCCTCGGTTACCCAACAAAAAAAGTAAATATGTTACTCTCTGATCACTAGGAAAATATACAACTCTATGGATGTTGTCTTCTTTAAAAATCAATCTAATATAATTTGAGATAAAGTTTCTCATAAAAATTAGAGTAAACACATATTTTATTACAAGAACATCAAACATTCAACGCGAATACAAATATAAGCACACCTACAATTCGAGAGGTTAAAAATCTCTCCCAAATTATATACCAAAGATTCACAACAATAATCGCATGCATCCCAATCTCCAAACCTATTAGGGTCTATTTATACTAAACAAAAATAAATAATAAAAGACTTTAGATACACAAAAAAGAAAATTATCACCAACGTAACAATACTCCCCTTCCAAAAAGACACATTGTCTTCAAGGTGGGAAAAACCATTGTTGGAGAAAATCGCAATGTTCCCACGGTCCGTCGTCATCCAAAAATCCTTTCTATTTAGTTAGAAATTTGTAGGGATTTTCAAGAATTTGAAATGTCATCTTGTGCAAACTTTCAGCTGTATCCTAACAGTTGGTGTCACGACTTTCAATCAATCTTTAGAGAATATCGCAACCCCAAATAACTTATCCCGTAACTTATCGATCACCAAAATTTATGTCAACTCCAAATCATGTATCTCTTCCATCTCTGTTAAATTTAATCATGTTGGCTTCCGTTTGTTCATGTTGTTTGAATGTCGTGCTATTTATTCCAAGTGTTTTCGCTTGAGTCCGCTCATGATTCCTTGGCCCGATACCACAACTCCCAATCCACCTAAAGCTGAAACATTGCCTTGATGTCGCTTGAATTCTTTTTGTTTCCGCTGCTCGAGTCCCTTCCCGTCATTGTCTTTCGACTTGCAGCCGGTGTGGGCGATTTTGCATGAAACATCATGATGTTCTTCATCATTTCTTTCGAGGTTGTGAATCTCTGCTGCAACCGCCCCTCCCCGGTCAAAAAACGTTCATATATTTCAATTTTGATGTGGCTCACCTCTCCCTTTAACTTCTCCTCCAAAGCATTCACTTCTTAGTTGTCATTGCTCCCCAAAAAACTTTCAATCATAATGGCAATTTTTTGTAAAATGAAATCCCGTCGTCACTTCCGAGCCAGCTCTTGTCGAGACTGTGCTGCAAGTCACTGATCCCAGATCATGTCAATCATGTTATTGCTTCCCAAGTAGCTCCAATCATGACTGTATCACGAGATTTAGTCACGAAGGATCCTATAGACATAATCCCACCTTAGGCTTCCCAGATGTCTCAAATCAAGATTGTCGAGAGATTAGGACATGCTCAACTTTGTACACTGCGATCCCGTCGTTGGTCCTGCACTCCCGTAGCTGGACACACATGCTGCGATCTTGCCGCTTGAGTCCCCACTAGCTCCAACCCATGATTGTATAGAGATTTTGTATGCCACAATACGCGATCCTGCTAGCTCCAAATTGTGATTTGTACACCACAATCCTTGCGTTGGAATCCCAATGAGCTCCAAATCGCGCTTGTATCATGATGGCAAATTGAATAGGGTCGTTTTGTACGCGGCAATCCCTCCATTGATTTTTTTTTAGAGAAAACTCGGGCTATAGGATCACGATTAGGGCACTTTGATATTCTTTTCTTTGCATTCCAAAACCAGATCCTATGATACCACTTGACACGATTCAAGTCAGATTTTCCCATATAAATTAGGGCAAACACATATTTTATTGCAAGGACATCAAACATTCAACACGAATATAAAGATAAGCACATACAATTCAAGAGGTAGAAGATCTCTCCCAAATCCTACGATTCAAGAAGAGGGAAATCTCTTAAAAATCCTAAACCTAAGACTCAAAACAATAATCTCATGCATCCCTATTCTTAAACATATTAGGATCTATTTATACTAAACAATAATAAATAATAAAAGATGAAATTGCCCTTAGGTCTGGAATAACCCAATCTTATTTTCTCAAATTTAAAATTTAGGTGGAGAACTTGAGAGAATAAAAGATTTGAAATTTTTT